TCATTTCTTTGTCAGTGGGCAAACTTACAAAATCAGCAGGGGATCAAATAATTTTTTCCCTCACTGTAATCACTATATCACATTGGCTCCCATATTTTAATTTCCAGGAAAAAAAAACTATAGTTGGTTTAATGGTCAAAGCCTGTAGCTAATATTTTTTATTTACCTACATATGCTTTTAAAATGCACCCAAATATCACATTGCATTTGTAAGATCATCCAATTTAAATTCTTCATGCAAAAACACAAACTCTGAGATATATGTGGCTAGGATACATCTATCAGAGTAATCATTACATTTGTTTTTACTGTATAGCTTGTTCTAAAAATAAAATTCTATCATTTCTCTCCATAATGCTCATATCCTCATGGCCTCCATTTCATCTTTTTATTATCTTTCCTGCTGAGATGTGTAGAAGCTTTGGAAAATACTGAAAAGCAGTGGAAAAGAAATACAGCATTGCTCAGCTGGATATTTTCTTGATTTCTGAGTGGTACTTGAGCCAAAGTTGAAAAATATGTGTTACTGTGTTGGTTATTTCATCCCTCAAAATTTAACAAGCATAGGCATAAACCTGCTAAGAAGATGGTATAACAGAGAGCATAAGTTCACTTTCCTCTGAAGATAAGGAAAAAAATTATTTATCCTACTTTACTTTCAGATGACATGAATCTGAGCTAAGACTGTTCTCTCTCCAGAGTATCTTGAGCTATCCAAGCTAATATTAAGCTAGTTACTCAAGTTACTGAATGCCTGTAGAAGCATTTTCTTACATGAAAACTGAAATTTGATTGAAAATGCTTAAATATTGGATAATTTTATTTTTTTCATATATGTATGCAGGCTCTTCTTTGTTTTATAGCTGATGAAAGCTCCAGTTGGTTCATGTGGTTTGGAGAATTGGCAACCCATTTACATAGTAAAAGAAAACACCAAATTAATCGACTTAGAGATGTTCAGAGATCACTGCATTACCTTTCTGAAACTTGGTGGTGAGCTCTATTTGGATATTATTTCTCTTGTATCAAATACAGTTGAAAATGTTAAGGTAAATATTTAAAGTACTACAAATATTACTTTTTAATATTAATCATTTTCAAAGGTGAATTCATATATTCATTGCAAGACAAGGTAAATTGTGTTTATCCAAATGTTTTCAGAGATAAAAAAAACTTCCATATAAATAATATAAATAAATTAATTGTGTGTTTTACACATACTGCGGACCCCGTCGACAAAACAGTGTTGACTGGCAGGGCCCAGAAGGAGAGCCTTCTCTGCTGTGGCCCCTGCCCTATGGAATACCTCCCCAGAGAGGTGAGGCAGGCCCCTACTCTCTTGACCTTCTGGAAAGCAGTTAAGACCTGGCTCTGCCAACTTGCATGGGGCTAGAAAAGGGGCAACCAACTTTGGGGGTGGTTAGTGCCTTGAAAATGCTCCTGTATATTAATATCCTTTCTACCAGCAGCACCTTGGAAGATATTTATATATGGATATGTTTTTTTTATTGTATTTTAATTAATATTTATTTTTTGTTTTTACTGTAAACTGCCCAGAGTCACTTCCTAGTGAGATGGGTGGTGACCAAATTTGAAACATAAAATAAATAAAATACTGCTAATTGCAGGCTGCTGGTTGATAGAGTAAGGCAGTTATCCCACATTGCATTTCTAAACACTAGGTATCTAACTTCTGAAACTAGAACTGTCATAATGACCTTCAGCATAGGAGGCTTTGGGAATAACCTGTTGGTGTATTGGGTGGAGTGTAGACATAATAGGCTGAGGTTATTCATGCCATTCACATGGTTATTTTCTTCATGTTTTTCCCCTGCTTGGATCATATACCCAGTTGTCGTTAGAGCACAGCATCATGATTATTGAGTAGCAATGAACATTCCAAGGATGCTTTGAGAGTGGTTATCAGCATGGCTAAATTATCTATGTTTTCTGCATTTACTGTTTGGCAGAGTTTTCTGCTACTTGCATGAGATCCAACTATATTACCTTAGCACCAGTCCTAAGAATAGCTGCTCAGCATAATAAGACTATAGCACCAGATTCCCTGGTTCCTTAGAATCTGGTGCAGTGATGGAATAAAAAACATAAACAGATCAGTAGTTAAAAACATACTTTTTTTTAAAGTAACTTTAAGAATATATTTTGTGTGTAAATAAAATCAACACATAAGATTTCAAATCCACAGCGTATTTTTCCTCCATAGAGCAAACTGATTGTGACTTGCAACTTTTGACTACTGACAATCTTAGTTAACAGAACTATTTCTCAATTATCATTTTCAGCAAACTAATCTTACCCAATACTTATTAAATTTTATAGCAGAACTAAAATAAATAATGGTGTATTATGCATACATTAAACATAAGATAAACCCTTGTTGTTGGACTTTGATTTTTTAAAATTTTACACAGTAAATTGTAGAAATTTTGCATACAATTTTAGACCAATCATATATAAAAACATGTTAATTAACAAAGCATTTAGTTAATAGCTGGATTAATTAAAATTCATTATATTGACTAGAACATCACTTTACCTATCCAGATTTTCTATAACTTTAAAAATCAAAGGGCTTTCTTGAAAACACAGGTTAACTCCTGCCTTAATACTCAGTTATTTGAAAATATTTTAAAATTTCACTTAGCATGATTGCAATAAAATGGTAAGCATATACACTCTCCACTTTGCTAATTGTAGCAGTCAAGTTAAATATAGTGCCCATTCTATAAGGTTTTTTTTGACTTTTTAGATTGATCCTCTTCAGGTTTTAATCAATTACACAGAGTGCAGTTTTTCTGTGTAAAGCTTTTTGACTCTGACTGCCTCAATTTCCAAAAGCCTTTATCAACCCAGTAACCAGAACTTCTTAAAAGAAAGTAAGCAGTGGGTAAGAGACCCTGCTGCTTTCAGAGAATGAATCTTGATTCCTTTCATTTCTAGGAGTGTTAAGTCTTAAAACATAATAGCCCTGAGTTTCTGAATGTAGCTGTGCCAAAAAAATAATTTTGTTCTTCACAATGGCTAACGCTGGGAGCAGAGTCAGAGGCAAGGATTGTAAGTGGCTGAGCACCCCAAAGCCAATGCAAAGCCTCAGTGCAATAACAGACACTGACTTGGCTGGGTTTCAAGTTGGATAGAGTGAGAGAGCAGACAGAGGGGCAGGAAAAAAGATTGTTAAAACTTTCTAATAATACAGAAGATTGCCAGGTGGGATCTTGTAGAAGATAAAGCATGCATTTTAATTATTATATTTTTAGTGCCCAAATGAACACTTCTAGTGACATTGCCTAATATTTTGCCGCCTCTGATTATTTCAGAATGGCATAACATTTTTACTTCCATTTGCATTATTTATTGAATGTCATTAAGCAACTTTTAGGGAAAGTAGTTGCATTGTTGCATTCATTATAGTGGGTTCCTGCCATCTCAGCTTTTTTAGTGGGGCAAGGGAAGCAACTCTTGGCAAGCAGAAGTTCAAATTCTTTTATCAGAGTAGAAACTATAGAATATAGTTCAACAGAACAAGTCAAAAGACTGGGGAAATATTAATAATTGTTGTTGTTTTCTAGCTACCTGACTGGGCCTGTTCACTGGAATTGGAACCTAATTCTGAGTATACTGCCAACACTTGCTATTTTTGGCTCATGTCTCCTCTTCAGTCTCCAGTTCGTTTTGCATATTCATTGATGGAAAAGAGCCTTACTGAATTTACTGAGCAAGAAGTACCAATTACAGTGAATTGTAAAACTGTACGTCTAGAAGCTAAGAGCAAGGTAAGCTCTTCTCTTCTTGGCCTCTTGTAAACAGGACTTGGAAAGAAAATACAAAATTCCCTACTAGATGCCCTAATCAGTAGATCTATTGCTGTTTCTCTGCTGTTTGAAAGAAAATCTTTCTTTTGTAAGACCTACATTTAAGAAACATGAAGGCAAAGTTGTTGTTTTTTTCCCCAACAGGCAAGATGAAATGGCCTTGCTTTCCTTGCTGTGGGGAGAAAAATCCCCCCAAACAAAGCAAGTGGTAATGTGTAACATACAAATATTAATGTAAATGATAATAATCTCCCCCTGAATCTCTTCATGAACCACAATTTTCCATGAAATAAGAAAATAATGGTGCAATCTGTTGTATTTTTCAGTCATAGAGCAGAGAATTCCTAGCAAACATAAGCTTTTATGTTTGCTGCTGCATTCAGTGTGAAAAGTGTGAAGCGATTCAGATCACAGTGCAGAGGGTGGTGGAGGAATGAGCTGCTTTCATGTCTTACAAACTTCTCATGAGTTGCACTTAATGAGATTTATGCTCCACGTTGGTAAACAAATCCAGTAGCAGTCCCATCTTTCATTTTATTTCCTGAGAGTTTTTGTACAAAGTGTCAAGGAATTACTATGATAAGCGAAACATTTTAAAATATATCAATTAAAGCTTTGGTTTTGATGTATCCTTTGCAAATTTCTAAATATGCTTTATTGTTAAATGTTCCCTCATTTGCAGGATGAAACTTGGGTACCAATTACAGTTTTTTATAAAAGCAATTCTACACAGCTGCACAGGATGCCGCTTCTGGTTCATGTATATGGAGCTTATGGAATAGACTTGAACATGACATTTAAAGCAGAAAATCTAATGTTAATCAAGGATGGGTGGATATTAGCTTTTTGTCACGTTAGGTAAGTCTGTAATATTATAAAACTCTTTTGCTTGTTGTTATTATTGCATCTATACCTGGTACTCTTACTGCTTAAACCTTTATCTTTATCTTTTAGTTGTAACATTTTTCATTTCGTTCACAATTTGTTTTCTCCAGCTATTTGTAATTTACATTATTGCTGATCATTTCATGTGTACTTTTTGCTAATAATGTATTTAAGTATCCATTTTTTGCATGAATTCAGTTAACTTCATCAAACACAACATAGTTCTATGGTTTAGTACCATTTTTAAAGCTTTTTGATATCTGTCATTCAATTCTTAGCATAAATCTTCATTTTCTAAGAAATATTCTGATGTTACATTCACATAGCAATAATTTATATTCACCTAAAAACAGAAATTGTAAAGCATATGTTTGCTGAAAATATTTTAAAACTATCAATAGTATAACAAGTAAATTATCTTTTTACCTGCTCTATTCTACTTTTTACTGGAAAAAGTATACCATGCCTGTGATTAGTACTGTATAGTAAGCTTTCAGCTGTTTAGAATGATTCTAAATAAATCAACTAAAGAAAAATAATGTCAAAGCAAATGTTATCCACATGTATTTAAAAATTTAAAAATTACAGAATGTTTAACAAAATATTCTCATATTGGCATACTTAGAATATTTCCGGAAGCCAAATCCTTAACCCATTTTAAAAGAAATACTAGAATTTAATAATCTAAATGTATTAAAAATAAGATTATCTATGCCCTGTCCTAAATACAATACTTGGAAATAAAACCTGTTTATTTACATAAAATTATGTATGTGCTCTTAAGATCACGAATTTATTCACTCCTTTAATCACTTATATCCAAATATTGCTAGTGGTCTGGGTTACTGTATAAGCTTCTAAAATGTGAGCAATTGCATATATATGTTCTTTTCAAGAGAAATTATATTGTATTTTATAATTAGATCACATATACCAAAAATAAATGTCAGCACCTTTGGATCCAGCTTGGAGAAACCCCAAAATATAATCTGTTAACGTTGCAGTCACAAATTTATATATAGAAGACAGAATAAGCATGAGAATTTGCACTCAGCAAAGAGGGAAAGCTGTATAGGATTCCAACAGGCACATTTACATGTCTGATTCTACTTAATGTCTAATAGTTGTTTATGTTTTTCATGCTTTCTTGAGCTTGTGCATGGGGTGGGAGGAGCAAACGGGGAATAAGAATCCTCTTTGTACTGTAAGTGACAAACCCTTAATCCAGATGGATCACATACTTAGTACTAAGACCTGTCAACATAAAAAATGCTTATTTCTCAAGAGTATAGAATTCAAGTATAGAATTCTAGAACTAAGGTATGTAAGCACCAGTTGATTAACTGTGTTGCATTCCTCATTCTCTGGCTACAATATGTTTACAGTATACCCATAGAAGTAAGCACAAGATAATTGAAAACATTATTGCCAAGGAGAAACACAGTAATTTTTAAGTGTAATTATAAGTGCATCCCATGTAAATGCTGGTAAGCTGCATATACCTCCAGCTGATGGTATGTGGGCATTACTCACACCCCAGTCACTTTATAACTGGATTATTGCAATAGGCTGTATATGGAGCTGCCCTGAAGACCATCCTGAAGCTACAGCCGGTCCAAAATGCAGCAGTGCGAGCAGTAATGGGCCTTCTCATTACACCCATGTGTCAGCGCTGCTATGCAAGCTGCATTGACTACCAGTTGGCTTCCATGTGCAATTCAGGGTGCTGGTTATCATCTATAAAGCCCTTTATGGCATAGAGCATGGTTATCTGTGGGACTGCCTGTCCTCAATTGTTTCTGCCCACCTGGTACGTTCAGGCAGAGTGGGTGCACTTCAGGTCCCTTCAGTTAAACTGTCATCTTATGGGACCGAGGAAGCATGCCTCTCTGTCACGGCCCTGCCCTCTGGAATAGCATCCCCTCAGATACATGTGTGGGGCCACTCTCTTAGGGTTCTGAAAGGCTCTTGAGACCTGACTCTGTTCCCTGGCCTGGGGCTAATATGTTAATGGAGCCCCTGTCATGTTTTTGACTGTTGGGTGTTTTTATCTGGGCTATTATGCTTTGTGGTTATGTTTTTAAATTTTTTAAATTGTATATTGGATGTTGTGAGCCACAACAATTCTTCCAGAGTCTTTTGAACTGGGGTGGCTATAATAAATCTAAAAAATAAATAGTATTAATTTCTGTCTCACAAGTCTATAAGAGCATGCCTATGCTCACTTTGTAAAATGCAAATGAGAGATAGGTGTGTCAGGAGAAATGTAAAAGTATGTTGAATGCAGTGGGAATGGTATATTTAAGGTGTGTGGTTAAAAAAATAGGATCACATATGAAAGGTGTTGAACAAAATGAATAAACATGGATTTGAAGTGTGATCAGGATGAAGAAAATATGCTAAGGTACTTATGAACAAAGGTACTTTATGAACAAAGAAAGAGAAAATGAATGAGGATCAAATTGGAAATTAAATAAAGTCAGGAAATCTGAGTGGATTGAGAGGAAGAAGACTGAGAAGGTTGTGGTTGGATTGAGTTGATGAGACAATTGAGAAGTTTAAAGAACAAAAGATGCAAAACATGATATATTATATTGACATGGTAGAAACAAGGACAGTTTGTAAGGTGGAGAGGTAGGAAAGGTATAATAAATTGTGATGGTGTAAATTAATTTTTAGCTATATTTCCTTTTTGCTTTCTCATGTATTTTATTTCTTCAGCTTACTATTTCATACTCCTTTGCATAATGTTGTTTATCACAAAAAGGAGTAGCATGATCAGCATGTTTACAAGTATGTGTGCTCTCTCACCATGTTGAGAATTGCAAGATCCATGGCTTTTTTGGTAATGATACCAGGTGGTACAATTTCCTATCCAAGAGGAAAATCAATAACAATTGCCTTGTCTTCCATTTCAGAAACAGAGAGTGGCCTGTGCCAAGCCAACCTGATTATCAGTTCTTTAGCTTAAGCTTTTAAAAAGCCTATTAATACTTAAAGCAGGTGTTTCTAACCAAAGGACATATGTATTTAATATTCTTGGATAAATATTAGGATGGGAATAAAATGTGTCAATTTTTTTATTGTTATTACTCTTATTTTAATTGTCAGAGGTGGAGGAGAATTAGGCCTGAGATGGCATAAAGATGGCTGTATGATGAAGAAGCATAATGGTATTCAAGACCTCCAGGCCTGCATCAAGTTATTGCATGAACTGGGATATTCTCAGCCCATCCAGACAGCCTTAATAAGCATGAGTGCTGGAGGAGTTCTTGCAGGTGCCCTCTGCAATATTGAGCCTCATCTTATCAGAGCTGTGGTTTTACAGGTGAGATAACTAGTATTCTATTAAAGTCCACTATTGTGCTTTTTTCCCCAGAATAATATTCAAAGATTTTTTTAAGTAAACTATTGCCCATCCACAGTAAAGTATAAATCATAGTTATAACAGCAGCAAGCACAGGAAGATGAGGTGGGATCGGGTAAGGACAAATCCCAAAGGGATTTGTTCTATAGTTTATGAGTGACTCAAATGAATTCACTGTTCTGCATGCTTGAGAAATGGACCTCTGACATCAGGAATATCTTGGAATAAGAGGGTCTCTTCTGCTGTCTTAAGTGCCAGATAAGTCATATCAAGATGGAGGAGGACTCAGGTACATAGGTCCAGTGCTGTTTAAAATTAAAACTAATACCTTGAATTGTATCTGAAAAATAATTGGGAACCTATGCAGATTTTTCATTATAGGCATAATACTCTGTCAAAATATTACACAGTACTATAATTGTCCAGCCTTTTCCAACCTAGCTGCCACATTTTTTATTATTATTAAAGCTTCTGGGCACTTTCTAAGGCAAATTGTACTTAAGGTGATGATGTATCCAAGTGTCAGGCTTTGCTTTTAAGGATTCGGTTCTAAGTCACAAACTGTGACATTATATGTCTTAACTAGGCTGCTGTGCTCAAATTTGGTTAATGTATATCAGATTCACAATGTGGCTCAGCTTGATAAAATATTGTTTACTAGAATCAAAACATAATACAGTTGATTACTGTCTATCAGTGTGGAGTTGTTCCTTCTACCCACAGTAATTTCAAGCCATTAGTTTTTCTTCCTGTCTTTCTCATGTTTCAGTGGGCTTTCCCTTCTGAACTTCATGGCCTTGAAGCTGAGCAATGGTTGCTTGTTGACATAACTGATATTTATTTATTTATGTATCTATTAATCAAATTTATACACCGCCCATCTCACTGTATAAGTGACTCTAGGCAGCTTCACTAACCCTAAGAATCACTGGCTCTCACATCAAGAGTGAGCTTCTCTTTCTTCTCTCTCTCTCTCTCTCTCTCTCTCTCTTTTGCTGTCCCCAGGGCAAAACAAAACAAAGTTTAGGTTTTGCCTTCCAGTAGTGTCCTATGCATGTTTGGCTCAGTAGGTAGCAAGATGGATTGCATTAGCTTTCTTCTAAAGCTAATATTTTCTATATAATCTATTACAATTGCCCATTTCTTCCATGGTTATATCCAGAAAAAGGACCAGCTTCAGGGTTGACATTCTCCACCACCTGCTGAGACTCATGCTATTATGAAATGGTGGCCTGCTAACCCATCTGCCCCTGCTGTTTTCTTCCTCTTGTTTCTTTCTATTAATCTCTGAGCAATTTGACAGTGACAAGGAGCAAACTGGGCCTGGAAAAATGGGAAGACAAATCATTAGCAGAAACAATGAAGGAAGTTGTCCAAATGCCCTCAAAATCTAGAACTGGCAGTATCACAGCTAACCAGATTTTCAGGGAGAAAATAGCTCCTTCATGTTTGAGGAAATAAAGAAATAGAGTGGCAATTACAGTACTAAGAGATCAAGCTGATGCAAGAAGGAAAGTGGTGTTAGTATAGGACTGGCAGAGTCATCTGTAGTTGGATCAGTTCTTGGGTCAGGACAATTGAACACTACAATAAGTGAGGACTCAAAGTAAATTTGTGTATCTGCAATAACCAAATATGGTTTCTTTGGTTTTCATTTATCAATGTGTATGCAGTATATTCTATAACTATAGCTCATAGCTTAGCATACCCAGAAAATTATGACCCAGACCCAGAAAATTATGTTTTATTCAAGGTTAAAAACACCTTGGCTTAGTATGATACATTACTCTAGTCTTTATGTATGATTACAGTTTAAAGAAGTTACCTTTTTTCTTTGTATCTTTAACCATTAATGCTTAATTAATGCAAAATTCTATTATTAACTTCTTCTCACAAGTTAAACATACTAGGAAATACCAAGCTTACATATGGTATTTGCTTCACTCATGTTAAATCTGTGTGAGAAAAAATGTCTTTATTTTCTTTATAGGCACCTTTTCTGGATATTTTAAATACAATGCTGGACCCTCATCTCCCTTTAACTATTGAGGAACAAGAAGAATGGGGAGATCCAGTGGTAGATGAGGCCTGCAAGGAATATATTAAAAGTTATTGTCCATACCAGAATATTAAACCACAGGTACTATTGCATTTTTTCTTGATTAAATATAATTGCATTTTACATAACTACAGTGTTGAATTTAGAGAGCAGTTTTAACCATTCAAACAATTTTAACAATTTATGAGATTTATTCAAAATGAAGAGAAACTAAAACTGAGCATAATGAACTTGGACTCCTAAAAAGTAGATTTCACTAAGCAATAATAAGTAGGATCCCATGGCAGGAGAAACTAATGGGAAAAGAAACTCAGTAGGGGCGGGAGTTTTTAAAGGAGAAGATATTAAAAGCACAGTTACAAACAGTTTCAGTGAGGAGGAAAAATAGAGGCTAGAAGAAGCCAATGTACCTGAATAAAAAGATCAGTTATGGGTCCTTCACTGTTTGGTATTTCAATTAATGATTTGTATGAGGAACAGTAGCCAAGTTTGCAAATTATACAGAATTAGATGGAATAGCTAATGGATGGAATACCTAATACCCTAGAAAACAGAAATAAAATTCAAAATGGTCTTGACAGACATTGAGAGACATGCAGAAAATGACAGAATAAAATTTAACACAGGAAAGTGGAAAGTTTTTCACTCATAGAAATGAAATTAAATGTACAGGTACAGGATACAAGATACAAGATACATGGTTTGGTAATGTTATCTGGATCACTGCATTGCTGTGGTCAGACTACAGTCTAATCAATAGGGATAGCAGTGACAATCCAGGCAAAACTGATAGAAAGTGCTTCAAGGTCTCCTCTGAGTAACTGTGTAACTCTGAGCAAACAAGTAACTTTCCCAGATCACTGAATTGGGCTGGACTGCATTGGATGGGTATGGTTGCACCATAAGCTTAACGCTGTCTGGCTCTATCCTCAGTAACTTGGTTATCCATTGCCAGATGAAGAAAGGGCAGCTCCACCAAAACTCTAAGGCCAGAGCCAGAGTTTTATCTAAACTTCTTTCTAGTCTCAAAGAAAAAGTTTATGGAGGATTTTCAACAGAAGACAAGTGCAACTGTTTACTAAGTCAGAGATAAGATCTTTCCATAATTGTCAGCTATGGCTACAGCCTGGATAGATTTTTCATCCATATAATTAACTCTGTTTAATGCTTCTTTTCTGCTGACGTGGCAAAGCAACTTCCACCAAGTTAAAAATTAATGCCTGCACAGATTGGTATCAATAATTCCATCCTGCTAACTCATATATTTCCTTCCCTGATCTTCTTTTTTTTCTTTTTAGAATTATCCTTCTCTTTTTATCACAGTTTCTGAAAAGGATCAACGAGTTCCTCTGGCAGGATTGTTAAGATACATCAATAAACTTAGAAAAGCTGTACAAGATCATGCGGAAACCAACAGTTCAGATGATAAGGGTAACATTAGCAATTTCTAAATCAGATTGGGATTTGAGTAATAAAACAATTGCAATAGTTTGACTGTTTCCCCATTCCATCAGAAAGAAACATATGGGAATAGTTACTATAAGTGTGTTTTCCTTCAAACTAAAAGTCCAGTCTAGGAGCAAGAGCTGTGTCTGTAAAGCTGCAGCACTGCTCCCTTCTTTCAAGAACTAGAAAAGGGAGAAAAAATTCATTAGCCTCCTAGCAGATGATTAGATTATTGAGACGTTTGATTCAGAACAGGTTAGATTGTAGTTCCATATTCTGATTTGGAGGAAATATTTAAACAGGTTAAGAGACTGTTCTTTTTACCTATTCCACTTGCCCAGTTAAGAAACCAGGTTACTTTTACCAAAGCCTTCACAGGAAGGAGCAGGGGAGGTCTACATATATTAATGCTGTTTTTTCTGCAATGAAACATGATGTATCAAATTAGGAGCACGATGTTGAATTAGACCAATTAGAGTTTTGTGTAAGTGACTCTTGTTTTTGGATTGGACTTTTCAGCATATTTCTTCCTCTTGGAACAGGGCATGCATGCATACATATCCTAATATGTTGACATATATTGATTATATTGAAAAAGATAGCATGAGTTACATGCAATATATTAACATTTACAGTTACTAGTGTTAGCATTTAGGCAGAATTTCAGTATTAAAGCAGAGATCCTATTTAATCTTTCATGTAGTTTGCAAGCATACTTAGCATTGTATTGGTTTTCCCTGATTGACATGCAATTTTAATATTTTGATAAATAATGTACAGCTACTGGTATTCAATAGGTAGTGTCTCATATTTAGATCAAAACCTTATGCTCAAAGGTGATAGATAGATAGATAGATAGATAGATAGATAGATAGATAATGATTTCCTTGATTAATCCTTCAACTAATATCTGACTTCAAAAAATTCATCAAGAATGTTGTTATAAATATTCTCTGTGCATGTGTATCTATTCAAAAATAGAGAGGGGAATTTCCAGCCAGCATATAGTAACGAATAGTATAAGCAATCTGTGCTCATGATTATCAATTGTAAATGGCATGTTTGAGAATTATTATAAAAGTAATATAAGAGAATCTCATGGACAATAACAAGAGCATATTTCTATTCAGAAGTAAACACCAATCATATTCTTTCCAAGGTGAGCATACACAGCACAATAATTTCAGTTGTACAAAAATAACAATAATGGTGCAAATAGAAAGTGTTTTTTCCATGCATCCTAAATTATTGGTGCAGCAATGGTTTTGAATGTCCTTGGCTTTTTTTTTCCTCAGTTTCATTGTTATTACTTCATAAATTCTTTGTGTAATAGATTTTATTGGCTATTATCAGTGTAGGAATTGTTATTGGTCATTTTGGTGCTTAGTTCTGACCCCAATTAAGGTTCCATTAAGGAACCAATTAAGGTTCCATTAAGCAACCTTCATCCATAGAATTAGAGATATGTTTCCTTTCTGTTCTACTCTACTCCATAGGACTCCTCTTGCTGATTATAATAGTAGTAACAGTGATGATAGTAGTTACAGTACTGCTCCTCCTGCAAGGGTATTGTGACTTAAAATGGACTACATGAAAGGGTCCTTGTTGTAATAGTTATTGGGAAACTTTGACCTCTGAATCACATTTTTTGGCCTCAAAAAATATCCAAAATATTCTACTGTTGTGAAAATGGATTTGAATAAATAGGTACAGGACACTAGTAAATTGTTTCATTCATACCACCAGTCACTGAGTGTTAAAGAGCTATAGCAAAATACTTTTCTTTCAGTGTTATCACCGTTAGAGTGCCTTGTTGTTTATGTTTTAGAATAGCATCACTCCTGTCCGAGTAACGTTTTATATTCCATTTGATATATTTTGATTTCAGGAGCTCAGATACCTAATATTATCTTAGATGTTCAGCCAGGAGGCAGCCATTGTTCTCCAACATGTGAGGATTCTTTAAAACAGGTAGAGATATCCTTTACAATGGATAGAGACACAAATTAATATTGTAACCTGTGAAGATAATTGTTCTGGGAGATTAAACTAAAACCGAGAGGCATGGGCAGAGGAATAGCATGTACATAAACTTGAAGAGTTCGTGATTCTCAGTAATATTGTAATCTATTTTAAAAGCTTATTTTTTCCGCTTCTGTATATGCAACCCTTTCCACCTACGAAATCATAATGCATCCCTCCCACTTAGGATGTATAACTCTCTTTTTGTAAACAGGCACTCCTTCCAGTTATGGAGAAAGAATTCTAGGTATCACCAATATAAATATTTACCTTACCACAACCAAGTAAGGGAAATGCATGAATACCGTTGGAATAAAAAATTTTGGAAAATTTTATTCCCAGTCCAAGTGTTGCATATGTCAAATTGTCATCAGTAGCACTAATAATTACCAGGGCGGTGGGCAGCTGCCAGTGGGGGAAGAAAGATATACACAGTTTAGATTCATTTATCTTCCTTCTCTCCAAACTGTTGATTGGTTAAATCATTTTCACTGAGATTCTGCATGGGATTCAGCCTCTTCGATCCTATTGCAGTGACCAAGAAAGACCTTCCCACTAACTGACTGTTAGTAACTATTTACATGGGCTTCTCTATATGTGTATCAGGACTATACTTTACACATTATATAGTGCAAAATCCAAAATCTGTCATTTTGGATAGAAAGGGTCCTTCTGCCTATAACAGCTTCATATTCAGGAGAAAAATTATGCTGTTGAAAAGGAGGCTGCAGTGGTCTTTGTTGATTTCTGCCCAGCATCACAGATTTCTTTATTTCTTGAAAAATCTGTTCAGGTGGTTGGTGGAATGTCTAGAACAGTGAGGGAAATAATATTGGGGATTCTCAAGGACATGAGAAATTGTACCCAAATTGTAGCTTGGAGACTATTCTAGATTTCAGTATGTACAACATATGAAAATAATGCATCATTCTTTCTTTCTGTATAGTTGTGTTTAAATATGTTAAACGTGTAGATATGAACTTTTTACCTAATATAGAAAGCACACATGCTCACGTGAAAGTACTTCAACCACAGGCTATGATAGAAAGAAGCAAAGCAATTTTGGAAGCATTTTGTGGCACCAGCTTCAGTGTTGCTGCTGTTGTTCTGGTCACAAGCTGTGTTATACTTGACAGTAATGCTCAATTCACAGGAAGCTTTCCTGATCTCAGTGAAAAGCCCATTACAGCAGCTGCCATTTTCTAAAGAGAATTCGGCAGGAAGAACTCTGATTACTCTTCAGACTGCAGGCAAACCCACATGATTATCCCCAGTGTTACAGGAGCACGAACAGCACTGCAAGGAGGCCATCAGTTGGGTTGGAAAGAGCTGCTGATAATACATCTCTAAAGTGTGCAAAAGGTTATGAGTACTCTGTTCTCTACTAACTATTTTTAATTGTTTTAGGTTGCAACACAACTAGCATTTCTATACAGTGAACTTGGACTTGACAAGCAGGAATGAAGCCAGGCTGGAATTTTTGTCCTTTTTGCAAAAGCAGAGGAAATAGATTTGGCTGCATATTCTGAATTACTTGCCCATGTGATTACTTTAGAACTTGTAATTTACTTTGAAAGTAAATTTATCCTGTGTTTTCATGAAGAAAAGGCAAGATACTCTTCCAAATTCAGAGGGTTTTTTAACTTCAATAAAATTATTGTTTGTTTGAATTTGTCCTCCTTTCCTATATTGAAGTATATTCAAAGTGGCTAATAAGCAACAATCAAAAATGAGAAAATACAAACCAAAATAAGGGAGTAAAAATCAATAGTTAAAACTGATCAAATTAAAACAGTGCTGGAATAAAATTACTTTTACCACTTACCAAAAAGCAGGCAGTGAAGGCTAAGTTCTTTTTAGGAAAGCTGTTCTAAAATCTAAGGCAAACAACTAAGAAGGCCCTTTCTCTCCTGTGCAGTGAAATGCAAGGAAATACTATCTGTACCAGAATGGGGTTTGCAGGGAGAAGAATAAAAAACTATCCTTGATCTTATTGTCCTTTGATTTTAAAGGTCAAAGTGCACACCATGAAATGAACCTGGAAAGAAACTGACAACTGCAGGATTGAAGTGATATGTTCCAATATCCTCTATTCTGCCAGAATCCTAGCAACTGCACTCTGGACCAGATCAAAGTTTGCAGACTATCTTGAAGGTCAGGTTTATCTAGAACATATTATAGAATCCAGTCTAGTATGCATATTAGAGAATAATTTATTTTTATTATTCTAAGGTTTAAAGTTTCCTCATTAGATAGGAAATGAAATGTATGTTACGTATATGATAGAATCACATAATTTCATAGAATGTGAGAATTGGAGAAACTGTAGAAGCCATCTAGGATGGTTCTCAAAGGGCTTACAGTTAATAGGAAAAGTAATACTATAGAGCAACTGTTTAAGCTAAGCCTACAGTAAACAGTACATTGTAACTGCTAGAGGGTTAACTTTTGCACTTTTTAGGTAATTCTAATTCTACCATTAGAATTAGATCAAGCCTATAGAAATCTATGAATAAGCTGGCACATCTTTTGTAAAGAAATAACATGTAATCATCAACTAATGGATTTGCATTAAATAATTAATGACACTTAGCAGTACATGTAAAGTAAATTAAAGACACTGGAATAGCATGCCTTTTCTGCAATGAAGCACTTCTCTTTGAAAATTTCCATCATATGGAGTGGTTTGCTCGTCCTGTATTCCAATATAAGTCCTTCACCCTTTTGAGTTTCAATTGTTTTCATGTTTACAACTTTCCCAGTGTTACTAAAAGTAGTGCTTAGCTTTATAGTAGCTTCTGAAGGAAGGCTGGGAACCAAAGATTGCAAATCTGTTATGGTTCCTACTCCAAAATTCAGAACCATCATAAACACTTGATCCAACCCATCAAGTTCTCTTACATAAACAAAGACATTGGTGTCATTCCATATGTAACATGTCCATCCCCTGTGAATGGGAAGCTCATTGGAACGAAGGGAATTGAGTTCTCGATACAAGTTGAGTGTAGAGTTTGGATGATTCTGTTGAATCTGTGATAGAGGAGATTCATTACTGAGTAATTTCTTAAATGCTGAAACCATATTCATTTGTCATTACATAATCTTCACTGTCTTTTTTGGTACGGTCTTGTGGGTCTAGTATCTAATTTTCATAGTAAACTATAGTCAAACATACAATGACACTTATTTATATCCTTCCTGTCATGCATTTTAATGAACTTTCTCTTCTATTGTTTCCCACTGTCTACTTTAGAATATAAATTACTTCAGAACATACAGTATTTTTGTAACACTGTAAGACATCATATAGTTTGATAATGCATTAATTTAAAAAATCTCCCCACTTTATCTTCTACCCTAATAATTCTCCCCTACTTTAAGTTCCTGTATCAAGCTCTTTTTTTTTTTAAACTATCCTGTATTATATGTCAGACGTCACAGAAGATATTTGAGTTTTTAATGACAAATGAATGTTTGGCTTATTAAGTTTTTTATACTCTTTAACTATACCAAAACCAGGCAATATAGATACTATTTAGGATTTCCTATTTATTTATTACAGAGATCTGTCTATTCTATACTAGGGATATAGCAGTCTGTAAAACTACCTATGTTCATAGTACAGATAGACTTGAGTAAAATTAATGTATAAATGTACACAGCTATTGTACACTTAGGGATCAATCCAATCTTTTTGCAGAGGGCAACTGAAAGATTATTGGATGTGGTAGAGACAGGTGTTCTGCTAACAAACTATTCCATTGCTGTATCATCTGGAGTGCTCTGAGATAGCTGAGCCAAAACTGTATTTCTGGGGCATGTTGGAATGGCTATGTGTAGGTGTTTAGATTGTTTGATAGTTTCCAATTTCATACTCACTTTCACATTTACTTTTAGATAGTCAGGATTTACAGCTATCCATGTTGAATTGCCCTCACTAAAGCCAGCATAAAGGCTATCATCCCATTGCATTGGCGATTTTTCTGGAGAAAGTGCCTAAAAAAGAGAAGGAACTATTCAGTACTAAAATGAATGTGCATTTATTCATTAAGTATATTTAAACCTTACTTCTTGCATAGTCACATATCAAGGGAGATTACATAAAAATAAAATACAATGATAAACTACTATACATAAAAACAATATAAAATGGGGTGGGTGGGAGAGGCCAGCAGTGAAGGCTGCCAACATCCGCACTGGGAAGGCTCAGAGAGGAATACTGTTTGAGTCATCTGGGACGCATTGTCTTTCCCTGGTGCTAGAGATTGGTGTGATAAAGGACAGTGTTAGAAAGCCTACAGCTGTCACGTTTTGATCTTGGTTCCTGTAGTGGCCTTCATGCCTCTAGAGCAGTGATTCTCAAACTTGACAACTTCAAGATGTGTGGCTTTCAACTCCCAGAATTCCCCAGCCAAGGTTGAGAAACACTGCTCTAGAGATTGAGCTGTACTGTGTCTCAAGGAGAGGTATTCCTCTCAAGGAGCAGCTAGCCACTGCAGTTGGCCTGGGAGGATTTCCTAAGGGTGAGGCAGGTAGTTAGAAGATAGTCCCAACCAGGACAGTTTGGGTTGAGATGCCCTGGGAGGGAGGCACTACTGTCTGAAGGTTTGGATGACCCTTGGTAGTTTTTAGCACAGTGGTTAGGAAGCTGAAGGTGTGAGGAAGTGTTAAGAGGGGGAGTGCCTGCTTGAGGGGCATATCCATATAGCTGGCCTTGGGATGACAAGTTATAGTTTGTAGGTGTGGTACATTTTGGGGAGGGAGATGTGTCACATTTGGGGGAAGCAACATCCTCTTAGTGACAGATTGAGAGAAATATGGCAGCAGACATAGAGTTATCTGTTCCAGAGGAAGAAAAAATGGAAACTTGTGCCAATTTCCCCAGGCCATGCTGGCCAAATCATTGATGACCTTGGCCTCAGTTGTTGATGTAAATGTCAAGTATGTAATAAGACTGGACTCATCCATGATTTAGTACTGGTAGTTATAAAACGTATTATGGACAATTTGGTGGACAAGAATAGCAACATTACCATTTTGAAGATCTGCCCTTATAACTTTCATGTCCTTCACCAACCCAATTCCAGGGCTGAGAGTGGTATTAGTCTATAAAGACATTGTCTAGAGTAGCTGTTTCTGGCTCAGCTAATGAATGGCATCTGGCCAGCTCCTGGAGTCACACTGGCTCGAGCAAGAGTCCTCAGTAGAATGTAGGACTCAGAATCCCAGGGAATGGCGGCAGTGGGAGAGGAACAGCGTGGTAGTCTTGTAGGAAAACTGGCCTGCGTCCTGCAGGTGCCCCCTGACCAACCATGTGGAGCAGCAGCCATCTTAGCAGCCTTCCTCTACTCCCTGGGATCCAGGGCTGGGATTTCAGGGCTGATGTGTGTGGATTCCATTGGAGTTGCTGGCGGCCAGAGTGAAAAGTTCTGGATTGGCGAGGACTGTCTTTTTGGACTGTTCAGTGTGTGGACTGGATGAGGCTAGTCTTGCCTTACCCTTGGGTAAGAGACAGAGATGGGGGAAGGTTCTGCCTGCCAGGCCTATTGGATATGACACTCCTCTTGCAATCCAGGTGAAAGCAGGTTGCCTGGGAGGGCTAGGAATAGAGTGGAGTGGGGCTTGGTAGTGTGGATGATGTGGGATGGAGGCACTGCTCAGGCCTAGGTACTGAATGGTTTACAGAAGCACTGGTAACCTGGTTGGGGGCTTTTTTATCCTGTTTGTGTTGGGTTACATGAGTTCCTTCAGCTTGGGGTGAGAGGGTATTTTGGGAGGGGAATTGGATGTTGAATGGGGGGGAGAGGGCAATGTGGGCATTGCAGTGGTGACAGGCATGGGGAGTTATGATGGCAGATGGGGCAAGCAGCCTTGGTGTTTAAGACCAATAGCATGTTCAAATCCTATAACAGTGAGCCAGGTTAGCTGATCATTATGGGAAATGAAGTCCTGAACATCTGAAGAGCAGTAGGTTGGGGGAGAGGCCCTTTTCAGTAGTAGGTTTTACCTCCTCTATAACATGCCTCTTAAGAGACGGAAAAGTAGAATTTTAACTCACAGTTTCTGAAGTAGCATCTTCCATCCCTATTTCTTCACCATAATAACTTACAGGTGTTCCAGGAAGGGTTAAAAGAAGCATATTTATGACATTTATGTATTCCTTTCCAATCCGAGAAGATATTCGAGCAGTGTTGGAATCTCCAACCTAAAATTAAAGTAATTCATTGTTTCATTCCTAGGGCACAAAGCTTGTATTATTTGTGGAAACTCAACTTACCCAAACTATTCAAGCAGCGAGTTTAGAATTCATTATCACTCAATATGCTAAAATTGGTTAGGACATGCTGAACAATGAATACAACCATTAGCAGATCCATGTTACCTCCTTTCTCTTTCTGTACCACTACACTGGATGCAACTGTTTTAAAATGTTTTATTATTATTACTTTAATTAAAATAGCAAAAGCATACATGTAAAAGCGTTGCAAGCATGATTTTATAATTTTATTTTTAAGAAAGCAGACAATAATGCCTAACAATACATGATTTATGTAAAATATTTCCAGAAGGAACCAACTCAATAAAACCAAGGTAGATCATATCTTATTCTGTTATATTAGTTTGCAGCTAATATTTGAATTGTCTGATTTCCAAGGAAGTTTGCATTCTTATGAAAATGATCTGCATGGTAAAGTTCTTGGATAGTTATATCCTCTATGGAAAAATTTCATTGAGTACTTACATGCTTTTCAGTGTGATATAATGGTTAAAGTGTTGCACTGCCAGAGACACTCTTGGCTATGGGACCTCACTGAGTGAGGTTTGGGCCAGTCATTATCTCTCAGATCACCCTACTTTACAGGGCTGTTGTGGGAATAAAATTAGGGGAGACTCTTCTCCCTCATTCATCACATAGAACACCAAAAATATACAGGCAATAAATATGTATCTGTAATAACCTATTTTTGTATTGCTTTCTACTGAAAGAGCTTTTGCTCTATGCATGGTACAAGATAAATTGTCTCAAAGTCATTGAGAAGAAAAGAAGCGCTCAGATGACACTGAATGATCGAAGCTACAAACTACACACAACCAATTATTATGACTAAACTGTCTCGTTACATTACACAAAGGCACAACATAGAGAACAAGCAAAAAAAGACTGTCATTATTCTAATAATCCCATATTAGAAGCCTGTTTTGTTTTGCTTTTTATATCTTAGGCCAGTGGTGTTTTTTAAGGTTTTCTCCAACCCAAAATGTCAGACACCCCTTTCCACATATGTCTAGTTGTGTAGCAAGCCACGTGGCTTCTGCAGCACAGGGGGGTTTCATGGACCACATCTGCAGGAGACAGGCAGTTACAGTGAACACCTCCCAGCCATGAAGCCAAAGATGTAATTTTAGGACAATACCGTTTCTATTCTTCAGGGTCTTTCCTAGCTGACAAAATAGTTATGACGGTAAAAGAATAATCACTCGCATCTATACTGTCATTATCAAGATCAAGCCAGAGGCAAATGGGTTAACAGTGCAAACTTGTGATGCCTATTCAGAAGTAAATTCCACTGAGTTTGTTTAGACTTCATCCCAGATCAAGATACAGAACTGAGTCCCATTTAACTTGATTAGTTGTACTTCTGCATAGATATGCATTCTGTAAAACAAGGGTATAACATACGCCCCAGATATATGCTATCCAAAAAATTGTTGGATGCAACTCTCAGCATCCCCCCAAATTCCTGCTGAATTGTTGGTTTGTTAGGTTTAACATGATAGAAGCATTAAAACATGTAATAGATGGGAAAATATATCTGGTATATATACACATACACATGTGTGTACATGCACACCCCATGATATGATTTAGGCATATTTACTTTGATTTAAAGTAACTTTAGTTTTGCTTTGGCACTTTTTTCCCATATCCCCCTTATTTTGGAGTATAATACCCAATATACATAGTGTTCACTTCAGAAAGGATTGTGCATCCCTGGTATGAATAAATACTAGCAGTTGCTTGGTTAAAAAGACATAAAAGATTATGCTGCAAACTAAAAATTTCAAAAATCCTCAAACCAGAAACTTACCATCCAATTTGGCCATTTTCCTTGTGGCATATTCTTCATCCACAAAGCTATAGTTTCAGAAATATCATTTCCTGAGATTGATTTCATGTTCATGAAATAGAGATTAACAGGAAAATCAGCTTCTTGAATAAAAGATGTCCCATAATACATCATAGTTTCTTCAATGTTGCTCTCAATTGCTTCTGTAGCCATAAATCTGCAAAGGAGAAGAGTATCATTCCAATTGTTTACAGAAATTATTTTTCATTTAATATAGCAAAAAGAAAAGGAAAAGGAAGCCTACCCTAGGAATCATTAATGGAACAGTGGTTCTTTATCCAATGTCATATTTTTTAATGTTATTTATAGTTTATATTTGCATATCACCAAATAGCTGGAACTCTGTATGTGATTCAAAAAATAGAGCTTAAAATACAAAATAAACTACAAACAAATAGCAATGCAAAGCCCCCCAAAATAAAATAAAATAAAATGCAACAATAGAATAATACCAAATAGAATAAAAAGGTATAAGATGGTTTAAACAGATGAGAAAATTAAAAGGCCATCATACAGTGCATGAGAAAAGCCCAGCATAAATGTTAGTTGAGAGACTCCAGCAAAGGCATTCCACAAAGAGAATTCTGTGGCAACATTACATTAAAGACAAGTTTCCTCTTCCTTTCCTGTTAATTTTTCTTTGTACATAGTATCTATTAGATAATGAAGTTATGGACAATGCCAACATACTGTTCAATATCTATACAGTATTTAGAAAACATTACAGACTTCAAATCGTATATAAAATTAGACAGCCTGTGGCCCGTTGGGTCATCATTTCAGAGATATTTCCTTACTTAAACAGAGAAACAGAATGACCAAGTGCAAAAAAGCTGTGGGAGTGGGAGCAACTTATAACTTGCTGCTGGTTTCCCCACTGACTTTGTGGGAAGTTGGCAGGGAGCATCAGAAATCCATCCTTCCTTCCTTCCTTCCTTCCTTCCTTCCTTCCTTCCGACATATAATATAGGATTGTGCCATTTGCCCTCCTCTCACACTCTCAGCAGAGCCCAGTGAAGTCACCTCCTCCTCGACTGACCCGCAGAACTGCCTGCCACTTTGCTGGGGGGAGGTGGAGCAAAGGGAGCCATGGAGCATGAGGAAAACGGCACCCCACTCCCCATTCCGGTATGTCCCCAAGGGCCCCCTCCCTCAAGGGAGGAAGAGGGCTTACCTGTCGACCACTGGCACCCCCCAGACAGCCCTACCTTGCCAGCAGGCATCCAAGTTGCTCCCTCAGCCTTCCCTCAGTGCCCACCGCTGTTAAGAGAATTCAAATTTCTGCTTTGTTTCCAAAGCAGCCAATCACCACTCACCCTTTGGGCCTTGCCACCAGTCAATTGGGTGCAGGGGACAGAGGCAGGAAAGAGGTCAGGGATACACCCATGGTGATCACATGACCTGGGCCGACCACTGCAGTCCAGCAGCACAGCAGTACTGAAGTGGCCACAAACTTCCCAAATTTCAATCCCACGGGAATAATGGGTCCCAAATTTTGGGTGCATTCTGTAAGTTATCCCATTTGAGGTACCTTGGTTCAAAAATTGTTGCCCTATGATGC